TATTATATATAGATGTTATCTCTGCAATTTATTGCTATGCAGATACTATATAGTATTGTAATGTCAGTCTGGCGTCGAAATAAAACCTTGTCAAGTGACTGATTTATTACCATTGTTATTTACCGCAGTTTATTCGATAAAATCCTCTAAAAAAACGCAGTCAAAGATTTATTGTTATAGGGGAAGGGATCATAAAAATAATGGGACTATTTTTGAAACAGTCGGAAATACAAACAGGGGTGAATATATCTACGTTTTTTGTATTTTTCTTTTACCTGTAAAGAAAAAACAACATATGTTATCAGACGAAGGTAAAATGATTATAAAACGCAAAGATTGACTTTCAATGAGAAGAAAGTTTTTTTTTTAATAAATATAACAAAATCTATTTTTTATATATTTATAAAATTGAAATTCGCGCTCCCTATAATTGCAGCATACCAGTATAAGAGCGAGCATCCTATTAAAACCTGCTTTTAAAGTAAAGCACCCATTTACGTTTCGTGGTAGAATAATGACGTGATAAAGTATTATCTGACTATCACGAACTTTAACTTTTCAATTAACTAATTTGACCGTTTTCAAAGTTCAAGTTTTGTGTTATTTATGTTTAAAATATTTTAGCGTCAATTGATATCTGTGTTATTAGTATACTAATTCGAAATATAATTTTCAGTATGACTATGTTTTCTTTACAACATAGTTTCTTATCTAAATTTTTTATTAGTACTCCGGTATTTAATTCAAATTGGCATTCGTCTATTTAATTCTATTTCAGCTAACACCTGAGGAGATGCTGTTCAATTATTTTCATAAATTAAAATGCCTTTATCACTTTACAATTTTCTTTCTTGCTTAAAGTGTAAGTAATATCATTAGATATACCTTTTTAATGTCAGGCTTATTATAAAAACGACTACGATGTTTCGTAAGTTTTTTGATGAAAATTATTTTTAATTTAAATTTCTTTCATCATTTCATGGGAAAGAAATGCTTTGAATGTCCAGAGTGCCATTGACAGATTAAAGAAATCAGTTCAGCTTAACGGGAAGGTAAATGAAAGCAACTCTAACTTTCTCTGCAAAGATAATACTGCAAAGATTATTTCGTCAATTCTTCATAAATATATGATTTAATTAAATCACTATAAGAAATCGAACATTGCTAATTTTTATTTTCATATTCCTAACTTAAATTTCAGTTTTAGTTGCAATATAATAATTACAGATATTATTCTTAAATCCTATAACGAGACTAAACATTCTCATTTTATTAAAATCCATGCAATTTCATTCATGCTCAGCCTTCGTGCAATTTAGAAAAGTCTAAAAATAAAATCGAATCGGAACAATTCCCAGATGATTTATAGGAAAAATACGATCCAATCAAAACTTTAGCACGATGGATACCTTTTAATATCGTAATGAACATTTTCAATCACGAGCATTGTCGCGAATGTGATACTTCGAATCATTAATAACTAAGTGTTTGTCCAAAACATGCTTTCAGACTCAGGGTAGTATATTAATACAACATAGACATTGAACCTTATTTTGAATAAAATAAACGTTTTATTAAATAAGGCTGGAAATTAACTTTATGTTAGGTAAAGCTTCGCTCAACTCTTTATCTTAGTATTATACCTTTAAGTGTGAGATTTTATGCTCAAAAAAATTGGGATACTCAAATATCTTACGAGAAAATTAAAAAGCTATTAAGAAAATTGGTGTGGGGTGACTTCATTCAACTAAAGCACCGATAGATATAAACTATTTAAGTAACTATCAGAACGAAGTAAGTATTTAAAATATAAATACCAAAACAATGACAGTACTACAATCGTTCAGATACAAGGATAAATGTAAATCGACCTCAAATCTTTAAAAATATGGTGACTGTTTTCTGTAATTAACATAACTATGTAGCTTATCTTAATTAATTTGCAGGTTAGTATTAATTGTCTTTAACTTTCAAATAACCATTAAAAATTGATTTTGATATAATTATTAACAAACATCTCAACGATTCTGTAGAAAGTTGCACACCAAAGTTAGTTGTTAGTTCATTCAAAAAACTGTTCTAATAATAATTACAATCCTACATACCTCACGTATTGTAACCCAAAAACGAGAACAAAAATGCGATCGCGGCCGTTCGCTTTGTTAATTACCAATACTTTCTTCTGAAACGGACGTAAGTCTATTGACACCTATCGTTGCTCAACCATAGCTAATAACGCACTAATCTTACTGAACGCACCAATGGGCACACTATTTGAACGTGTTAGAGTTGAAAATAGAATAACAGTATATATGTTTACGTACTTCTTGACATTCGATTCCGTATTGATTTAATGTAATATTTATGATCTCGAAAAAAATATGCTTTCACGGTAGCGATGATGTGGGTAAATAGGTATATACCGTTTGAATTTTTATGAAATGACATTGCTGAAAAAGTGGAGCATTTGTGATGTTAACATGGTTCTTATTACGCTTATATTTGCTGTCAAGTTAAAACAAACAAAATTTGTAATCGATTCAACAATTGAATTTTTTTAATAGGTATATAAAATATATATTAACTTATGAAGTGATGATAACTAAATCTGCCCGTGAACTATTTTTTAGAGATTTCTTACAATTCGAAGTGTCTTCCAACATTATTAATAGCTCTGAAACTATTTAACCGACTTGAACAATTATTTCGCCTATGGGAAACTTTTATGCGTGGGTGAGATAGGCTATATTTACGTAGACGAAATCCCGGGAAAACAGCTAGTTAGCTGTAAAAAAGCTGACATAGAATTCAGAAGTACATTTTTTATAAAAGGCAACAATCACTCGTTCGAAACATGACTGTTAATTGAGGAAATTACGATCATTGAAAAGAATACCTAGGTCATTACGTCGGATTTCTCCGATTACATTTATCCCTAGCTTGAAACGAATTACCACTTATCTTAAGATTTAGGAGTCGAAAAGGACCACAAATTATTATCAGAATTATAACGAATCTTATTAAATTCATATTTCAAAACCGAAATTAACCGCTTAAAGGACGATTCATTCACAAAAACCAAAAGGAGATTCATAAATTAGGCTTGGACAAAATACAAAATGATATTATTTATTCAAAAGTCGTGAGATGTTTCTGAGAAGAGAGGAATATGATCATCTAATAAATTTATTATAATTTGAAGTATATTATTTTTAAGATGGAGAAAATATCTGAAACAAGATTCAGAAATGATATTAATAATAAAATGTGATTTCATTGACGTAGAAAAAAGGACCGACTAAGTTACTACTCATGTTCGCTGATAAATATGATCTATCAACGCACAGCCCAAACCACTGGACGGATCGGGCTGAAAATTGGCATGCAGGTAGATGTTATGACGTATGCATTCTCTAAGAAAGAATTTTGATAAATTTCACCCCAAAGGGAATAAAATAAGGGATGATGGAGGATGTAAATGTATTAGTTTGAACTTATCAGTACCTAATGGAACGAATAAATAAATATTCGTTAGAAATGCTGCTCCAAGTACCTTTACCACGTGGACGAAGTCGCGGGCAAAAGCTAGTTGTTTCTATATAGATCTAACTAGATACAGTTTTTGGGATTCCGTGTCTCAGAAGGATAAAAACAGCCTTATCGGATCAAATAACTGAAACTTCTATATTTACATGACAAAAGGATAAGACCGTCTACGCCGCAAAAGAACACATATTTCGAAACTCTCAAAGAAAGTAAAATGCGGATATAATCTAATTTATTTACCCTTTGAGTATTTATATCGAACTAGATTTGTCTATAGTTTAAGTAGGTACATCATTTAGAAATAAAGGATTCCCTTTATTATATTTAATCAATTTTGAATTCACAATGCTATACTGAAAAATATTCTAAATAAAAATGCTTTTAAAAATCCACTTGGCATTCTGAGATGGGACACATCTTTCGAAATCCGGGCAACTGCTCTAACCACTGATCTACGCAGGATCTAACAAACAGTACAGACGAATTTGTTACTTTTTCCCTACAACAGAGCGTATTTTCATATTTCCTTATCCCTACATCCAAATAATAATACATTATTGTTTAAAATACATACTTTGCAATTATGTACATATTCGAATAATGTGAATTTTTAACTCTCCTTAATTTTTTTAACAATTTGACCTTTTGTTCTAAACTGATGATCTGATATATATTAAGTTAGTTGAACGAAACCAGAAACAATTAATTACTCAAAGCTAAACGCTGACCTATGAAATAAAAATGATATCTTAAAGTGTATGGTGATAAAATTTTTGAAAATATTACAACTTTACAAGTTGTAATATTTTCAAAAATTTTATCTTGTCTGTACAGTCTTCTTGCGCTAACCTCTCAATATATATATATTAAATTCTGACTTTTATTAGATACCTGTTTAATGGGCGTTGAGCATGAAATGAGTTTTCGACCGTAAATAGATATTAAAGTATTTTTAGTCGAGAACATACATTACTGACTTACCGTGCCGTACCAAGAATTGACAAATCTTCGACATAATACCTACAAATCTTGACACGAATTCTGAAAGGCAAAATTCATGTCTATTTATCGTCCGCCGTTTTTGACTCAAACAATCCTAATATCAAAGACTTTAATAAGAGCAGTTATACAGATTGCGCCTTTGACCCCATTTTCACAAAAGATGTTCAAACAAAGAAACTTTTCTTCAAGTAAAATCGATTTCTCGCTTCTTTTTTACTAATGTTTACATACTATTAATTAGAAATATTTTTCCTGGTAAATTGTTTATCTATACTAATATTATAAAGGGGACATATTTTATTGTTTATATATTGATTTGTAAAACTAATGGGCCGATTTTTAAAATTCATTCATCTCCAGGAAGCTACATCATATGCTGGTGAGATAGGATAAAATGTACGCGGGTGAAGTTGAAGGACGAGCTAGTTTTTAGATTGAACAATTCGTAATCATACTATTCACCTGTGTTTTTCACTTGGAGTCAGCGCATAGTGTGCTCCTAATTTTTCAATTTAATTATATAATTTTAATAACTTAAGTGCTTTAAAATGTTATCGTTTTTAATTCATCCATTTTTGTCAGCGATCTCCTCTGTTTTTTATATTTATCATCCCTCATCCATCATTTTCCGAGCAACATGACTTTAAAATATTCTTTAATTACTTTGAAGTTGCACGAAGTTTTAAGTAACAGAGGTCCAAAGTAAGATTATTTGAAAAATAGTATTGAAAGCGTCCCTAGTTAATCCATTATAAGTATGTTAATTAGCCGCATGAAAACTTTGGAATTAATAAATTATCTTAGATAGAAAAAGACGAAAATTACTTAGCAGAAACTAAGAAAACCTTTTTTTTATTTCCAAATTTTAATATCGCTCCACCAAACAATTTGTGGGAAATTATTTCTTAAAGTTCAAACATTAGGTATTTCACATTTTATGAGTTACTGATTCATCAGAGGGATTATGTTTCTTGCGTATTTTTCAATAATGTTTACCATCATATCATCTTTATATATTAATGGCAAAGATGACTATAATGAGTGGTATGATTGATTTACTAACGCACATATCAAACTAGTGGATAGACTGTTCTACAATTTAATTACTATGATGTAGAGAATCATAAAAAATATGTTGAAATATTCGATCTCTATGGGACTGATCCTAAGGAACGTTAAATAGAGGTTTATAAAATCATACAACCCACTAGGGCAAATAATTTGCGCTTACGATTATATAAATATGTTTATAATAAAATAAAAGGGAGTAAATTGACAGAAATTGATTATATAAATTTTCTGAATTGTTTGAGATAAACTGTGTATTAGAGAACAAAATTTCCCATGGGTATGCTACAGTTATTTTGTTCGACAATCAATTTTCTGATAAAGCAATTTGAGATAATTTATTTGGAGGTCAATTTATCAATGTCATGTGGCGGTGACGATAAATTTATTACTGGACAACAAAATACAATTGGCATAGCATCACATCTTTGATATCATTCCACAGAACATAGAAAGACGTTGTTCTGTGATATCGTTTTATCTGAAGAGCTTGTCAATAAGCCAATTGACAACGGACCATTATGTTACCATTACTGCGATATTTTCATGAAGTTTTTATAGTTACTATCAATTTATTTCAATATCGTATATATATCTAATGGTATGATTAGATCTGAAGTCCTCTAAACCGGATCCAGGATCCTTCTCCCACGCGAAGGTACTTTTCAGTGGGTTTTATCAAGTAGGTTCGTATCCAACCATCAATCAACAACCATATTAGTAATTGTGAAAGAGGTTTCCTTTATGGCAATAAAAATACCTAGATGGTATTATAATGACATATTATAGTGATACAATAATGAAAACATTTGTATTCCTCTTGACAGGGCTCTTGTTTTAAATGATGACTGTAATACATATGTATCTTCTTTAAATGGTCTTCAGCGTGTAGAAATCAATTTAATGCAAAAACTATCATAACATAGATGTTATATATTTTTATAGAAAACTTTTATTGTAAAAATTGTACCTATATTGACTTATGAGTCTAGCTAAGTTTGTGAACAGAAGAGATTTGTAATTATTCTAGCTACTCCACTAGCTTCTATCCCTTTAACATTGAAATAATTTAGGTACCTACATACCACATTAATTTGTTTTTATCAGCTTTTCGTTCAAAATATTAAAAAATCAGCCGTATCTTCCGAAACATCTTTATAGATCGTTATAGATAGAGTAAATAGCGATAAATTTAATTAAAATAAAAATAATATTCCAAAAAATATTTTCTAGAGCTTGATTTTTTATATTATTATTTTTTCTATTACAGGGAGGAGGCAAAAGAAAAAAGTCCTTATGGCCGTCGTTCCCCTACTGTTCGGCATGAAGTCAGCCGCCGTAGTAATCTTCGCTATGGGCATAGTCACCGTATTAACATTGAAAGCTTTCATCGCCAGTAAAGTCGCATTGCTTGTCACAGTAGGCATGGCAGCTAAAAAACTATACGAATCATATAGTAGTGGGTGAGTGTCTGTTGTTTTATTATTTTACGAATAACTTTTATCGCCACATTATGTTACCACATTGTGCAGACTTTCCGCAATCTATTTGAAATTAACTGATGACATAATTAAGTTAAAAATTCATTGGAGAAGTAATCTGTTTGGGGTGACGTGGTGTGTTATTGACTATACGTAAGTAAATAAACAATATTGACGAAAAACTTAAAATTTAAATACCAGCATAAAATTTAAATTAGTTTTTATTCAATAGAAAGTTAATTTTAGTGAACACTTCTGTTGTTATTTATTTATTTGCTTTATGTCCAAATTAACATTACGAGTTTTGTTTAAAGATTAGAATATTATTAAATAAATATGCAAACACTTATAACAATATAATGACAAGAAATTAGCATTACGAACGTCAGTATCGTTTATTTCGGATTTGTAATTATTTCAATAAAATTCTTAAACATGGGAAACCTCATTCTTCTGATGTTAACCATGCTGTTTTCCCTTGTTTAGAAGTGTGGTTTTGACTTCACTATATTATTTGATGAAACTGTAAATTTGTGGCATGACTGGACTGACTGACTGCACGCACGCATTTTAACTATGTACATAATGATCACGCTCTGTGGAAGAAAGTTCCGTAGAGCGACCACACAAAAAATATGGAATTCTTCCCGAAGCACGCGATGTGTTGCGTGCTCTTTCTAACTTTCACACTTTGGTGTATACGAATGGATTTCTTGAATGTACATAATTTCATACGACGTATTTACGTGACTGACTTCAATCGACACTATTACTGGCATTGAAGAAAAACTGTAATTATTTTTTTAAATAACCCAATCACCACCGCTTCGCGGCGCTCTTTGTTTTCACAGTTTCTTGGAATAATTTTAATATCGATTAAATAGTAAATTATTTACTAGACATTTTAATTAGGTTAATAATGGAAATTTATTTACATCATATTTAACTTTTTCTAAGATTTGCTTTACTTCATATATTTACCGTTTTTACGATTTTCTGATCAATTTAGTATTTACATTGTGGAAATAAAATTCTGTACTCTACGTGACATGAGATTGAACGACATTGAACGGTTAATTGGAAGACTGACTGAATTCATATGAGTATAATGAATACTGGACTGCTGGACTAAAAGAAGACTGACTATAGTGAGCAATCGAGCAAAACCTAAAGCAATATATGTTTACATTCCAGCGTCGGTTTAAGCCACCCATACCTTTATTCACAATATCCGATTGACTTTCCGAGCGCCTCTTCGCACGCGTACTCCGTAAGTGGAGTGAGCCCGCAATTCGCATCTCCAGAGTTGTATAGCCCGACAGCTTTGGGTGCACAACAACAAGCACACGAGCTTTTACAACAGCCAGATGCCAGTGCTCAGCAGTCGCAACAGGCGCCCACACTTCAGCTAATGAACACAACGCGAGCTGCGGAGCGATGGGACGGTAAGTCGAAGCTGCTCAAACTCCTTGAACCGGTCTTGAGTACGTTCAGGAGTTTCGTCGACCCGATCGCTAACGTCTTTTATTCTATGCCTGCTACGTTCAGAGGTTTGAATTCTGACGTCACTACAGAGTCTAAAAGCTATGAGCCAGAACCACAAGAGAGCGTTACCCAAGCAAAAATTATACTTAATCCCCAGCCGAGATTTATAGCCCAAAGAAAAATGACGCACAGAAAACCACAGAGACCAAAGAAATACACTGAACTGAAAATTAACTTGGAACGACTAAAGCACAACAAGGACTTGTATGAATATATTAAAACGAAGAAATATAAACACAATTACCCAAATACTTATTATTATCCGAAAGTAAGGCATTTTGTGAATCCCAATAGCTTTAAGCCAAACCCAAATAATTATAGAATGCGACCTTTTAGAAAAGATCCTTCTGTGTCATCTTCGATTAATCGATTTAGTTCTAATGCTTCCAATACCGCTTTGCTAAATACTTCTACTGAGTGGAAACCAATTGTAGTAATCGAAGAGCACCCAATTCTATCATTAAGCATACCAAAGAAAATAAACAATAAACGATTTGAGAATATAACCGACGTTAAAAGATTGTCAAGAATAAAAAGAAGCAACACCTTCGATGAATTTGGGTTCCGAAACAGTAGTATTAGTTTCAAGGCAAGAAGTGATGAAAGTACCAACGGAGGTCTTTGGGAGTTTTTCGAACAATATTTTAGTTATAACATAATGGATACTATTGTGGAAAAAGCTCAGAACTACGCCAAATCGGTTATTAAAAGTTCTTGGAAATCGAAAGAACCTCCTAAGTATTACAGTATTATTTATGAAATACTTATATGGAGTCTCGAAATGTTTGATGGTTTTTTAAGTGTAGAGGAAGCTGTTAGCGAACACGCTTTGAGTAAAAATGTTGATAAAACAAATGCCGTTAAAAACTCAAAGGGAGTATTAAAACCCAAGAATAAAAATAAAACATCTTAATTGAATAATATAGAATAAGACAAAAATATTTTGGCATTTCTCAAAAGCATTTATATATAAATTTATGTTTACCGATAGAGGTGTGTTACACAATTTACCTGGTTATAATAGGAAAATATTCCCTATTAAATGAAGTTTCAATTTTCATTGTCAAAGATATTTTATTTTTTTCGGATGATGTAGCACTTCTTTATTTAAGGTGGTGGTATTAAAAAGACACTGCAGTGTATGTTTGATAAGCTACGAGTATCAATAGTTATCAATGGGTTTTTGTGTAAATATAGGTAAATGATAATATATACCTATTATGTACTGTATCATCCATTCTGTAATTGCTATAACGTAACGTAAGTACTATACAGTCTCAATATTTAAAGTATATTTCTAAATAAATGGTGTTATTTTCGATTCATTACAAATAACTTGGTCCAGAATTTAAATCCTGCAACATGTTAAAGCAATTACTGAAAATCTCACCTAGTTAATTAATTTTAATTGTTACACATTTGATTTGTTATTGACGAATGTTGTTCTACAGGGTACCGGAGACGTCCAATGTCTTATGGAACCTCGCGCGCTACTTCAAGGTCCTATTTGGCCTATCACCCCCATCATTGAGTGCCCCTACAATGACAATGCCAATGTACGTTTTGCCTCAAATGTATGAAACGCCGATGTCCATGCAACCGGTTCAAACATAATTGGACAACGAATTCTAAATATTGGATCAAGTGGCAACCTTTTTAGTTTATGTCAGGCCACCACGCTTCTGCCTTGATCCATTCTTTCGCGTGGTGGTCTGACAAACAAAGCAGTTGTAATGTTTTAATTTGCCAGTCAGTGAAATTTTCTTAATAAAATCTTCTTTTAATAATAGTTGTTGCAAATTAAAACATTGCTGAGTTGCCCACCTTTAATTTATAAGAATTAATCTCTTAAAGACTGCTAAGCGCGAGCCCGTCGACTTTATTTAATTATAATAATTTATTTTTAATGATAAGTGTTGTTGTAATAAGATATTTATTCAGCACGTAGTTAAATTAAAAGATAATAACATAATTAGTTTGTTTTATTACACGTTGAAGTGTTTTATGAGTATAATAATAGTTAATAGTTGATCTTAACAAATAATATTAGTTTCCAAGATTTGAAAAGGTACTTGCTTAAATCGCGGATGGAAACGACTTTAAGGTAGCTAACAATTAATATATATATTTTTAAAGTAAATCCAGAAGGAAGAAACTTATTAACGTAATATCTTATATTATCTCCAATAAAGTTTTAGGAGATTGTTATCTGGAATTAAGACCTTTATTTGATGCTCCTCGTACAGCTAAATAAATTAATCATATGAGTAACGTCCTACTAAAATTCCACAACTTGACAGCTTATCATCATAATAAAGAGGTTTTGGTTAGCTGTCGTCATTAATCAAAGTACATAAATAATATGTATATGTATATGGTAGAAAACAGTCATAAACTTATTATGTAAATTCGTTTAAAACTTTCAATTTTGCTGTCAGTTCATTGTGTGCTTTTGAAATAATGTCCGAAAAAACAGAACGTCTAATGACCTAACAGCAAACCCAAGAAAGTAAATTTCAAACATTATGTGTTATGGATGGAGAATGTTTTATGGATCATTACGTAATCAATTATCGCAGAATTCCCTTAATTTTTGTCACGCTCAGTAATGTTTGAAATAACTAATATTTTCATGGAATATTTAGTAACTATTTAGTAAATTAGTAATTAGTAACAAAGTAGCTCGGTGGCGTAGAGGTTAAGCGCCGCGGCCCGCGATCGTTGTTGTCAAGCAACTTTCGCAAGAGTCGGTCACGGGATGGGTGGTCAAAAAATTATTATCTCGAGCTACTTCGTGCTTCGGAAGGCACGTTAAGCCGTTGGTCCCGGCTACATTTTGCAGTCGTTTATACCCTCCAATCCGCATTGGGCCAGCGTGGAGGGTCATGGCCCATCTTCCTTAACCATCCATAAGAAAGGCCTGAGCCCCTGCAGAGGGGAAGTAAAAGGGCTGATGATGATGAATTAGTAACACAATGTTTTTACCTAATTTAACTTTGTTAATTATAAACTCCATCAGCATTTTGTAAAAAAAAAATATATATAGACAACACAAAGCTGTCATAGCATAGAGATTCAATCAATCTGAAATCTACGCTCGACGTCGAGTTCTTTTTATTATTTCGGGGCTGATTTCATTTTAGCAACACTGAATTGAATATTTCCATTTTGACTATCCAAGTTGGTCTTTGCTAGGGTTAGATGTTTCAGTCAACATATTTATATTCATAAGTTGAATACACTAGTGATTCTACCCTTGGCTAAAACTTTTTGTTATGGTTGAGGTTTGCTAGGTTTAATCTTAAGTGCGACAAAGTTTCGGTCTTAGAGCAAAATGTAAACTACGAGTAAACCGATACATGTCTAGAAGTCGAAATTAATCGACAAGCAAACACGTTTTCACATCGTGAGGTTCTCGAGTAGCCTCATAATGTGGAGACATGATCAAAATTTTACAATTCAAAAAACATTTGGATTGTATTATAGCTAAATTGATTTTAATTTGGGTTAGCAGAATTGTCACCAATATATTGGACTTAATACCAATATGTGCATATGTAGCTCCAACACTTGACAAGAAGCACATGTTGTACATTAAATTCTATTATATTATTAACTAATACGAAGCGGGGGTAACACCTCTCACTCCTGTAATTGGCTGCCATTATTTTATTATCTGTTCAAGGAACAGATAGTTATTGTAAAAGCGCAAATCTTAACAAAAACAAATCTACAGTTCCCAGTGTAATGTAACACATAAATAAATTAAAATCTTAAATACATAATTAACACAAAATAAATATTAGTTAAAGGCTCAAAGCACAACATATTCAGCGGCTATATAATAAAATAAGTCGATGTAATACAAACTAAAGAGGTGTTTTCCGTGTCTGGAATACCGTAAACGAGTAGTTACTTTATTGCCATTGAAATTTTATTATATTTGAAATAATTCTCGTTATATTATATCCATGTTCTTCTTTAAGTAAGTAGCCACTTTTTCAAAGTTTTTAAAGTTACTATTACTAGAGAGTAATGGAAAATGAGAGATAAAAAACAACGAAGTGAATATTTATATGGACTGGTAAGTAAAAATATTATTGTATGAAGCAATGAGTAATATAAAAATACTGTATTTTTGGTATCTCAAAAGAAAAATGAAACTCCTTATATTACTTCGTTCTCCGACTAGACTATTTTTCTTGGGAAGCTTAAAGTTATATATTTTGCTCGTTATTTGTCAATATGGATTGAATTTAAGCAGAAAGTTTTGTAGTTAATGAAGTACCTAAAGTTATATTTAACTCTGTTAACGAATTAGATCTTGACTTTGAATACCTAAGTATATGTATTTTAGTTTCAAACAAGATATAATCTTCAATTCTCGTAGCAGAATACACATTTATAAGTCGAACAAAATATAATTTTTTTCTTAGAATTACCCGATGATTTTATGAGCGCAGATCTTTTGCGGCAAAAATGCCGTAGCCTATTGTAAGGCGTTAGGGGACTGGGATCTGCAATACGTCCATTTGTACTGAGATAGGAAAAATATAATCAACATTGATTATTACATTAAATAACTTTAGCTGGATTGTAGACTTCATGCTGTTATGGTTATCTGTAATTTATTTTATCATTTTATTTATAAGTGAATAACACAAAAATCATGTAAACAAATAATATACAATTATAGTTTTACTACTTTTCTCAATTTTAGTTTAAGACAAAAAAACAACAAAAGAAAATATGATAGAAAAAGAGTCATACTGGCAAATTATTTAGGACGCTCGGCTGTCGGATCCTGTTTCCAAAGAGGTATGGGGTCGGCGTTCTCGTGTTTTTATCCCCTTTGAGAATTTCTATCTATGCAGACACTAGCGTTATTTAAATATATCAGTATTTATAAATTAAAATTAAATATATTAGAAGAGGCAATTATGATTGTGGCTATGGCTCTGTTCAGTAATATGGAACTATAATAGTTATTGCTTGAGACGTAGAAGAGAAGTATATTGGAAAAGGAAGAATATGAGTGCATATAGCATGGCAGTTTATTTGTTTGTAGGAAATAATCTCACGAAGTACTGATCTGAAATAAAAAAAATCTTTCACCTGCGGGAAGCTATATCATTCGCGCGTGACATAAGCTATAATTGACGAGGGAAGAGTCGCAGGAAAATACGTAGTTAGTTATCAAATATAATGTTACTATTTTATATTATCAACATATGCTGGTAATGTGGGTAGTCGTATAATAATAACAATAATAATAATAATAATACTTTATTGTCACACCATTTTACAATGTCGTATATGTATGTATAAATATACAAAAACATTATAAAAGCGAAAGTGACTTCGTAAATATGCCTGGTATATGTTTTCAAGCGAACCTTTGAGCCAGTTACAGCGTCTGTGGGCGTATGATATATGCTAGAATTTTCCAGAATACAGTAATTTTCCGAAAATAACGTGAATGAAGTCGCAAATAAAACTTGATTTAGATGCACGACGAACATTGAGCAAAAGTAGTGACACGGGCTGATAAGTAGAAAGTTTTGATACATACAAAAAAAATATGTTTTTTTCAAATGAACAAAGATTAAGATATGAAAAAACTTTTTGGAATACTTTTCCGAAGAATGACCACGTGATTTGTAATATTTGCATATATAGTCGATAATAAATTTCAATACTTCGAATTATGTTCCGTCGCTAAACTGTTTAGTATTAAGACAAGATCCAGTTGCGAAATATGATGATACCTTTTTAGCCGAATTCAAAGTCAAAGATGGGATACCGTCTTTGAGTACCAGGGACAAAGTGGATTTTTAATCATTTTTCAAGTTCACAATTTATTATTTATTTTAAGTTCTTTAGTAAAATTTTGAATTCTATCTAATCAGGTTAATAACATGATTTAAATATATAGGGTAGGTACGGGAATGGCGCTCATCTATGAACTTTGTCAAAATGAAACATAACCACACAACAATATAATATACACGTGAGTCTCCTCCGTACCCTGCACAGTTTTCACAATCTTATTTATATAACACCTACTTGTTTGAGCATTAAAGATTACAATATGAGCATTATACGTGATAATTAATGTTAAAACTAAACCAACAGAATCTCTAAATGTGCATAAAAAATATTGAATATGCGCTATAGCAGCCGCAGTTTTCACATCACTTCAAACAGAAAACACAAGCAGACACACGTTTAAAGGATTTAGTCGTCCAGATGAGTATTACGATGTTACTCATTTGGTAGATGGCGTTCAACTGCCCTCAAGTTTGTGAAATCAAAACTCGCGGGGACAGAGTGCATGACAGCTAATAAAAATGGCTGCGATTTGTTCCTGTATAATTCACCCACACAGTAACATCGATTCAAAGCTATTTAAATTAAAAACACAAAATTCCTATTTTTAATAATTTATGATTAATATATGAATAAGAAATGGTGACGAAACATGCGCATTTTTTGAAAACAGTATATCTTAAATATTTACTTCGTAATAATTTATTTTGACTAATTTACTAAGAAAAAAATATTTTCGTTGTGTCTCCAA